TATATATATATATATATATAAAAGTTTGTGATATTGTTTAGCATGATACACTTACATATTTTATTGAATTTGTAATGTTGTTGATAAAAAATCAATCAGTATTATTAAATTAGTAACGTGATAATATGTTTGGGTAAATTTTTAAAATAACATTTCTAAAAAATAGGAAAAAAAATTATGAGTTAAAATAAACAAAAAAATACACCCTATTAATTTTTATAAAATCTTATTTTTTTACTTATATAAATTAATTTTACTGAGAAATTTATTTTAATTTTTTTTTCTTATAATTATTTATGTAAATTAATACACAATATACTTTTTTTATAGAAGTGTAAATAAAAGTTAAACTCAAATATAAAATTGAGCTTTTGCGTTAGATACGTGTTTGCGGTTAAAAAAAAAGGTATGGAATTTTGAGTGGGGCAAAAGGTTAAGAAGCGGCACTGTCTTGTGCAGTACTCGGAGTAGGGTGTACGCATTCCATGCTTTTCACATTAGACAGAAGGTATCATTGAACCTAATATTTTCAGAACAGATTCTTATATCAAAACTTTTTATTCTCTATCATAATTCCTTTCTTCTTATTTTTCATTTTCCTTTAATCTTTTTCAAATAAATAATCTCATATTTCACTGCATTAAAGGCCTACCAAACACACCCCAAAATTTTCAATGTGATAATTAGATCATGTGTCTCTTATTCTTTTCCTTTTATTTTCTCCTTTTGAAAACTTGTTATGCTAAAATTAAATTTGTTAGAAAACAAAAAGTCAATGAGAAACTGCGAGGTGAACCGAATATAAATGCATATATTTACAAGTTGGTGGTTTTTTGTTGGACGGTCCCATATCAAACAAGATACCAACCATTTTATTGTAGCATAGTTATCCCACCCTTTGAGGTGCCTCCAACTTAGCGAGGAGATTAGTCACTGCTGTCAGCGGTGATACTCCAGGGACGAACAAAAAAAAAAGTGGGTTAGAAAAAATTCTGCCCCGAATCAATAAATCAACTAATCACGAACTGCAACTTCCTTCGAGTAAAAGATAAACAAAACAATTCCTTATCACTATCAACTATGAAAAATCTTATATATGCCTCTGGCAGTTAGATTTTAATTAACTTTCTTATTAAAAAAAATTTTTTTCAACAAAGCTTATGTGGAATCGGAATCTTTAAATAATATTTTTTTTAACAGTAAAGATAAGATATATTAATAAGCTAGGGCTACCTTAAACCCATTTATATATGGAAGAGAAAATTAAGATTAAATGTCTCAAGATAAGATATAATTTACTCTTGTACAAAAGTAAATTACAAGTTAACCTATATTGATATCAGATATATGATCCGCCAAGAAAGATATATTGTCTAAATCTTTAAATAATATATCCTATGTTCGTAGATTAAAAGAATAATTGAAAGAAAACCTCTTTAAAAACAATCAACCAGACTTTCTAGTAAATATTTATATCAATTAAAAATATATTTTAATTTTTTTATGAATTATGCAATTTAGAAAATGTTTGAGAAAGTTTTCAGGCG